AGTCGCCCAAGACTATCAGCCTAGGGTACTCCAATGCCCAGCCTGACTCCGCCTCGACCAGAGATGGCAGACTGTTGGTTGGTGCGTTAGGCAGATGGTACAACAGCCAAATAGCTAAACTCTCCCCGGCTTCCCACACAAGGCCTGAGCACTCAATACCCTCAAGCTTCAGCAGTGGGAGTGCCCTGAAGGAGTAAGCCTCCCGGATAAATAGTGTCACTCCTCTCCCCCGCCCCACAGTTCATGATTGGTGAAGGACCAAGAACCTGGGCGGAGCTAACTGGGAGAGTGCTACTGTCTCCCCATCTCGTACCCAAGTCTTGGTCACGCACGCCAGATCCGCTCCCTGTTCAAGCAAAAAATCCTGAAGGGTTGAGGACTTATTGTTTATGGATCTGGCACTGCACAACACCAATGTCGGGGGGGGTCCTTATTCCCTGCCCCTCTGCCTGTCACTCTCAGGGTGGGACACAGGCTGGAAGGGGGTCGAGCTTCTCTGTTTCTCCACCTCCTTCCGTTGACTTTCTGCCTGTTCCCACTGCTGTACTTTCCGCGCCCCAGGAGCACTGGTATTCCTAGCCCCACCGCTGCCATTTCAGGTGGCCTTCGCAGTGCCAACACAACTAGAGGAGAACTGGTTAAAATGTCATGTCACTGTCCAGCAGTGCCTTTTCCAGCACACAGTGCCTTATTACTCAATGTCAATAGGTTCATTTTCTTGCTTCCCCTTGACACCCCCTTTTCATTTTTGTATGACCTCACATGTTGCTTCCCTCTTCTTCTCCATTACACCTCTCTGGCTTTTCCATGTCCTGGCTATTTTCTGTGGGATTTTCCGCATTCGATCTTCATCACTTGTAAGTTTCTGTTGCTTTGGGTTTCTTCTGTTTTGCTCCCTCTAGTGGTTGATTCAATAGTGCATCAGTTTATGTCCAGCATATTTCCCTACTTAAATTTAAACCACAGGTTTTTGTGCTGGACATAAACCTGTTGGGAGCTGGGCCAGGGGTGGTGCAGGCAGCACCGACAGAGCATGGAATGAGTAAGGCAAGGCTGCCAACTCAAACAGTGTAGTCTAGGTCCAGTTCAAGGTAAAAGTACAGAGTCTAGAGCCATCAGTAATCTGGTCCAAGGGTCAGTCCATACAGCAAGGTCTGGAAGTCCAAGAGTTATCCACAGGCAGGATCAAGGGATGGTCCAAAGAGTCCAAGGGATCAAGGGATGGTCCAAAGAGTCACAGGAACAAGGCAGGCTCCAATGCAGTGATCACAGTGTTGCTTCCCTTGGCTGGTTTTTGTAGCCATATGCTGAAGGATCATGCTTGCAGTCAGCTGCTCAGGAGTAATCCTGCAGCTACTAATCTTTGCTATCAGCATACTGCTGGAATCGGGCATTGTCATCTCTCCTGTAGCTCCATTCTTAGCCGTCTGTGGTGCTCTAAGGGTATGGGTGATACTGGAGGGCAAGAAACAACCAACTGAGTTGCACCTGTTGAATCAGGGCTGGAGGGTGTCAGTGACTCGGCATCAGCTGTTGGCTGTGAACCCTGACAAGCCCACAGCACATCTTCCTGCTTGCCGGCTTCTGCTGATTCAGAGTTGGCTAGATGGGGCTCTTCTTCTCCTGAGAAGTCCTCACTATCACTGAGCCCTGGCTGACTCATGACAAATCAAATGTAATATTGAATTGACCACTAGAGGGAGCAAAACATGTGTGGGGGAAAACCCTGAAGCAACAGGCATTTACAAGCAAGGAAAATGAGAATATGGAAAAGCCCACAATCTGTTGGGAGATATATTCAGATGGGTAGCCGTGTTGGTCTGAAGCAGTAGAACAAAGTTTGAGTCCAGTGGCAACTTTAATACCAACAAAGTTTTATTCAAGGTATGAGTTTCGTGTGCATGCACGAAACTCATAGGGGATTTTTTTTAATTTGCATTTTCTAAAAACTACAATGAAATTTAGGGAAGGGACTACAAACTATAGGAGAAAGTATAGAAAACCCACTAAAAACCCAAGAGAAGGTGATCATACATTATGCTTATAAGTCTGCTTCTTGCTTAAAGGTAAAGGTAATGGTTCCCTAGTCCGACTCTAGGGTTGCGGTGCTCATCTCCGTTTCAAAGCTGAAGAGCCAGCGCTGTCCGAAGACATTTCCGTGGTCATGTGGCCGACATGACTAAACACCAAGGCGCACGGAATGCTGATACCTTCCCACCGAAGTGGTCCCTATTTATCTACTTGCAATTTCTTGCTTTCGAACTGCTAGGTTGGCAGGAGCTGGAACTAGAGACGGGCGCTCACTCCGTCATGCAGCAACTCAGGTCTCGAACTGCTGAACTACTGACCTTCCACAGCCTGCAGTTCAGCGTCTTAACCACTTGAGTCACCGCAGCTCCTTGCTTCTTGCTTACAATTCGCTTAAAGTTCATTGGATGTGATCAACCATGTTCTTCATACAAAAGCTACAATCAATTACACCTACATATCTATCTGAATAAAGAGAAATTCAAGAAATGGTTATTAATCATTATATAGAATTCCAGAAACATTAACAACTTAATATCTGTCCTTTTCCTTTCTCAATTGATAGCTTGTTTTGGGGGCTGCTGCCCCCAATTCCGAATCTGAGTTCTCGTCAGAAGATTCCACTGCTCCATCTTCATCACTCTCTTTGGTGCTGTCATCTTTCTTTTTATCTTCTTCACCTACTGGTCAGTTTTGTTGCTGCAAAAAAATCCAAAGCCTTTTCAACAGAGTCAATTTTTTCTTTCTTGTCCTTAAATTTGATAATTATGCCTTCCGGGAAATTCCATCTGTAGGGGACTTTGTTTTTCTGTAAAAATAATGCCAAGTCTCTGTATTTCTTTCTTTTCTTTCTTATTTTAAACAGAATATCTTTTAAGATTTTAAATTCTTTGTCCTTAACTTTCAAAGTCATTCCACTTGTAGCTTTCAGGATTTGGTGCCTCACTTGTCTTCTGGAGACTCTTACCATCACTTCCCCCGGCAGATCATTTTTTCTTGTAAATTCAGAATACAACCTATAGATCGTATCTATTTCATTTTGAAGTATATCCGCTTTTATGTCTGCCACCAGGGCAATAGCTTGGCACATCAGCTGCTTTAAGTCTTCTCCTTTCTCCTAAGGAACTCCTTGAAATCTCAGGACATATCTTGCTCTTTCCATTTGTAGCTGTAATAATTGAGACTTGTCAGTTAGTCTCTTTTTCTTCATCACCTGCAGTTGTTTTTTAAGCTGCTTTGTGTTGGCATCCACTTCTTTCATCTGTTGCTCCGTTCTATCCATTTTTTTTACAGTCTCATTAAGTTGGGCTTGTTGCATATCCAGCTTTTGATGTATTGCTGTAACCTGTTCCAGCAGAGGGTGCAGCGCTTCTGTCAGCATCCTTTGAAAGTCTGCAGTTATGTCCTGTCTAGGGACAGAACTCACTGGGCTAGCACTTCCAGCAAGGGGCTCCAGTTTCGATTGTTTGTCTTTCTCCTCTTTCTTCGGCACCATGTTTGGGGTTGTTAACTTTTCAAAGAAAGTTATCAAAGTCTCTGGAATCCCAGTAAAAATCTGGTAAGTTCTTAAGTGTCTCTTTATTTCAGTCCACCTTGTTTTATAGCTCGCCCCCCTTTCTTCTGTTACACAAAGTTTGTTTGTTTTCTTTTCCAGGAAGGATTCCCCCCCCCCCGCTTCCCAAGGGGAGGCTTTCGGCTATTTGGGGGGTGTTTTCGCTTAGACTTCAACTCACATTTCAATTATAAGATTGCTTTTAACCTTAGTTCGCTCAATCACCAAACGCTTGATCCGGTGTGCCATTCGTGGACGCTCTGTGGTGGGACCTTCGGGGCAAGGGGAAAGCCCCCCTTCGCCAGCAGGGTCACCGGGGGTGGTGCGGAGAACACGGCTGCCATTACAGACGCCAAGACCGGAAACCTCCAGTTGTAGTCTGGACTCAAACTTTGTTGGGAGATATGCTGGACATAAAACAATGTAACATTGAATTGACCATTGGATGGAGCAAAACTTGAGCAGAACAATTTTTTTTAAAAAACCAAAGCAACAGGAATTCACAACTGAGGAAAAAGAGAATGTGGGAAAGCCCTGTGTCTTTTCCCTTCCTTCTGATTCCAGGCCAGTGCATTTTTACTTATTATAATATCAGAATTTCTAAGCCAGTGGTGTCCAACAGGTAGCTTGTAGGGTACCAGTAGCTCACTGGCTGCTGTAGGGTAGCTCATACATCCCCTGGAGAGCCAGTTTGGTGTAGTGGTTAAGTGCGCGGACTGTAATCTGGGAGAACCGGGTTTGATTCCCCACTCCTCCACTTGTACCTGCTGATGTGACCTTGTGTCAGTCACAAGCTCTGGCACAGCTGTTCCTGAAAGAGCAGTTTGTGTCAGAGTTCTCTCAGCCCCACCCACCTCACAGGGTGTCTGTTGTGGGAAGGGAAAGAAGTTTGTAAGCTGCTCTGAGACTCCAAGTGAAGGGTGGGGTATAAATCCAATCTCTTCTTCTTCTTCTAAAAGACTTAGGAAAAGATTTTTTTAAAAAAAATCTGCTTTATTTCTTCATTTCTGGGGCTCTTCCTAGTCCTTGTTCTGTTTCCAGGAGAGAACAAACCTCAGTAATATGCCAGGATGGTGGAGGGAGTTACATGGGATATTTTCATTTCTCAGAACCATAAAAATAAATGGTTGGAGACCCCTGCTTTAAAACACACACACACTATTTTTATTTTTATTTTGCAATGTTGTGTACTATAGTCAGATGGAATTTTGGAAAACTGAAGTTTGGTTTGAGTTGACTTTCCCTTAAATATTTTAAAGCAATGAACTGTGGTGTGTACATATGCAGCAGAGTACATCTCATTGATATATTTCATTTTTTAAAAATCTTCAAATGAATACATCACTGACACTCATTTCATATATAATTATTTATTAAATGCTGCCCATGTGCTCAATGTATTATGAGAAAGAAACAAATAAATATTATTATACAGTTACAAGCACATAAGCAAAACCTGAAACCCCTTTCCCACAGGTGTAAAATTGACATAATATAGTCAAAGTTCAGAACTTGTGTTTTTGAGTGATTTCACTGAGAGAAATATAAACATCTGTGTAAGTCTCCCATTACAGTCAATGGGATGTAAAGATACTTAACATTGGCTGGAAAATGCCTTCTTTTTCTTGAGCTAGTTGTTAAAAAGGTCTACCTTTTTCTAAAATCTGAATGAATATTCTGAAGGAAAAAGTTGGATAAGGCTAATATAAATACAGTGTTTATTACCTAAACTTCTTCCCCATCTGCTTTCTGTAATGAAAAACTGGCCGCTAAAGAACATCTGAAAGAGAACATCTGAAAGCACAATGGGCCTAAAGGGGTAACTCTGTTTAGGATGGCACTGTAAGTCTCCACAGTTCAGCCACCGCCCCTAGTCAATCTCACTCTCTTATTTCCCTCTCCCTAGAGAATGAAGCCTATCTTATTTATTACAACTGTCTGAAGCCTGGCTTATTACATATTGATGACCACAACAAGGGCCATCTCCTCACTATAACTGCTGGTGTGGAGTCACAGGCATTCCCTACTTTCTTCTTCCTGTGATGGAGGAGAAGCAAAGGAATCAATAGTAGAGCAGTCTGTGCAAAAAATGAGGTACAGAAATTAGTGTTATTGGTGGGGAGAGGTTTTTCAGGAGGAGATCTATGGAAGTACTTTCTGGACCAAGTTATTTATTTCAGAGAATATAGACGTATCTTCTGTGTAGTTGGAGGAAGATGGAGGTACATTATGCCCATTCATTCCCTCCATAAATATCCTGTCCTTCACAACTGGTGTTAATTGTGAGACCAAGGAAGGCCCATGCCACTTTTATAGCCAAAGTCATACCTTAAGCCCTGAAAAAGATATTGCCAGATGGTGTGTCAGGAAAGATAGGCTTCCCCAATAATTTTAACCAGTAAAACTAAAAATGGAGCTTCTGTCTATATACTATTAGTGACATGTGGACCCCATCTGTGGACACCTAAGAAAATTGAAGCCACATGGATGCTAAACAGGTTTTTCAGCAAACTTGGGTGACTTCCCAAGTTTGCAGAAAAATCTGAAATGTTTTTTTTAAAAAAACATAGTTTAAATCCCCCAAAAAGTAAAATAATGTTCTCTGCACAAGAATAGAAAACACTGTTTCCTTTCTACCTGAGTATGGTGGAGGCCGGGAGCTGTAGCAGGGGCCTCACCAGGCCAAGCGGTGGCTTCCAGAGACCCCAGTGTCCAGCAGTGGCAAAGCAGCCTGGGGGCTGCGCCATGCCAGATGTCAGCTGCCAGAAAGTCCAGAGGCTACACTAGGCCAGGTGGCAGCTTCCAGAAAGCTGGGGGGGGCACACCAGGCCCAGCCATAGCTGCCAGAGAGTACAGGAGCTGCGGATTATTGAAGCAGCCAGGGACCCCACCAGGCACAGTACTGGCAGCCAGAAAGCCCCAAGGTTGTGCTGAATCTGGCAGTGGCTGTCAGAGAGCCCAGGAGCTGCAGCAGTGAAGCAGGCCCGGGGCCCCCACCAGGCCCGGTGGCAGCTGCAGGAGAGCCTGGGGGCTGTGCCAGGTGTTCATTTTAAATTTAGTTTAAAAACTTGTTTCCCTATCTTCCATGTCTTTCTTGCTCTATAGATAATGTGGAGAGTTACAGTTTTAAAATATTGTGATTCCTGTAAAAAATAAAGTAAAATCCAGTGCTTTATTTAATTCTTCAAGAGTTGCCAGGAGAGGTTGTAGCATTTTATGAAGACAATGTTATATGGACCTAGCATAATCACTAATACTGTTGATGTGATTAAGAACAGTCATGGAAGAACCTGCCAGAAGAAAATTATCATTGACTATTCCTGCTAATTTCAGCGTTTCAGATGAAGTGAGAAAATGAGTAGGTATGGTCTTGGCCAAGAGTAGTCAGCTCTTTACTCCCACACCCTTCAACCATTCATGAATAGGAAGGGGTGTATTCTTCATGCTCTCATATTGCAAGGTAAAATGAGCTTGGACAAAACGCTGAGGTAAAGATGCCTCAGCGGAACTCATAAAAGTCATAGAGATTCTTAAAATGAAGGAAATCAATGAATGAAAAAGTATAAAGTGCCACATGTGCAGAAACAAATACAAAAAAGAAAGCAAATCTTCCTTCATCCACAGTAGCATTGAGTTCCATCCCTGTTTAATATAACTGAAGCACTGAATTATTTGTGAGGATTTCCAGCCCTCAGTCAACTCCGCATTGCTTCTCCTGGTACTCCTAAGCAGCTGTTACTTGACCCCTTTCCCGCCAGCATACTCCTGGTATGGACTAGACCGTGTTTTAGGTCGTGGGATGGAGAAATCCTGTTGAGACTGAAGATTCTGAAAAAGGAAGAAGTTGTAATGACAAGATTTTAACATGAAACATATTCTGCAAGAGACAATGTGGTACTTCACTGATACAATCTTTTAAGCAAATAAGATTGCTATTTCTGAGTTAATGGGGCTCTGTGTCATCTATGGCCTCCTGCAAGTGCAATAAGTATAGGTTAACAGTGGGCCATGTATTTTGTAGTGAAAGAAAACCCAATGCCTGGTTGATTTAGAACCGAACTGAGACTAGTAAATAAGTGTAGGAAGGAATCCTCAGGGAATCCTTATTAAACAGGAAGTATCTTGAAAATAACATTATGAAACTAAAAGCAAATTATAAAATATTCTATGATCTCAGCTCTGATAGAATCCTCAAAACTGTGCATCTGAATTTACCTATAAAAATGAACCCCTATTATGCACACCTCATTTATGAAAAACAACTTGTTAGCTGAGTTCTCCAAGTCCCATATAGTCCTGAGACATAGAAACTCATGTAAAGTGAATAACACGTTGCTTTTCTCTAAATGACTAATTTTTCCAGTTTCTTTTTAAAATATCCCCCAGGCCAATTGTAGGGTTGCCAACCCCCAGGTGGGGCTTGGAGATCTCCTGGAATTAAACTGATCTCAAAGCAACAGAGATCAGTTCTCTTTGAGAAAATGAATTGTATGTTATTGTTATACTGAATGTATTGAATATATATACCTGATTAGGATGTTATAATAATACACAATGCACTTTATAGAATGATAGTTATAAACAGAACATATTAATTTACAAAAGTTTCTTCCAGTGTATATTTATTCATTACTTGACTTTCCTAACACTGCAGCTCTGGTTGCTACAACCCCCAGGTGGGGCCTGGAGATCTCCCGGAAGCAACAGAGATCAGTTCCCCTTGAGAAAATGATGGTTTTGGAGGGTGGGCGCCATGGCATTATGTACCAGTGAGGTCCCTCCCGTTCACCAACCCTGCCCTCCCCAGGCTCCACCCCCTAAACCTCCAGGTATTTCCCAACCCAGAGTTGGCAACTGTCTTAATGAGGCTAAATTGTAATGATTCAATCCAGAACTGAAGATGAGTTAGTTTATTTACCTCCAGCTGAAAATGAGTTGAATAAGGAATGTATGTACGATCACCAGTTTCTTCTGAAGTTAAAATGAAAGAAAGAAAGGTAGTGAATTGATTATTTCAACAATACCACACAAGAGAAACAGACTTAATTTGATTCCAGACAACCATTTGAAGCATGATGGTTGCTACTTGTAAACTTATTACATGGTTTCATATAAGCACAGTCACAACAGGTTGCTTTCTTACTACCCTATATTTCAGTGCAATAATTGTGGAGGCAAAGTAATGCTTCCCTGACCCATAAGATGCTTTGAGGCTCTGGGACAGGCCAAAAGATCAACTAATTAAAATAACTAATAAACTTACTGGTTCATAGCTAGATATCTGTTTCACCCTCTAAACTTATTATAGGTAAATAAATAATACAAGTAGACTAGACAATACCTTTTATAAGTAATCTATGAGTAGCTGTCCCCTCAGAAGACCCAGTTCATCTCAGACTCCTTTCTTGCCCATAGACAGGGCTGCTGAAGTGAAGGGACGAGAGGGACAAAATTCTGGGGGGTTCCCAGGTTGTCCTGAAACTAATGAGGTGCCTCCATGGGAGAGTAGCACTATTCCTCTTCTAATCAAGCATCTTGCATGTGTTCTTCTGAACATCAGGAGAACCCAGCGTGGCTCTAAGCAGCCCTGCCCACTGCATAAGAATTTATTGGAAACAGTAGGCAGTGGTCAGGCTATTTCCTTTTGCCATGTTCCTTCTCCAAATACAGTATTGTTGATTTTACTACTTTTGACTACTTTTTATTCTTTGTATATTGATATTTGTGTTTTTATATTGAGGGCTTTATGCCCCTCCAGGTGGAAATTTCCTTAGTAATAATAATAATAAAAAAGATTTATAGTCACATCTGCTTGAACATAGACACATCCCCTTGAACAACTGACACGTTATACAGGGGAAGTGTTTGCTCAAGCGAGCAGAAACAGAGGACCCCTACATTCTCAGAGAATTTCTCACACAAAACAGCCATTTTGAGCATTTCTTCAGAGCTTGCATGGACATTTTTCTGGCAACAGATTCCCTGCTATTATTTTTTTGCAGAAAAGACATGACAGCTGTTCAAATGCAGTGGAGGAGGGAGATGAGTTTTCCTATTTGGTAAAAGGCTCATCTTATCCCCCTTCAGTCAAGCAAACAAGCAACCGAAACAAATTGAAGATACTCATCTTGGGAGGGTAGAACAGGGTGCCTGGAACAAGGGAGTTGCCTTGAAAACCAGGGGGAGGGGGAATAATGAGCATGAAGCCAGTAAGGTTCAATAGTAACTTGATAGAAAATTTCCATTGCACTTTGCAAATATTCTTTAGGGGAATTTATTTAGTAGCAAAATGGGGTGATTTTCCATGATATCTAAGTTTGGAGCCAACCCAAAGGCTTTAACCTTTTCCCATGTCCATGGCTGACTGTGGATCAGAAAACCTGAAACCACTGTGAAGGGGGGTTTCCCACTTACTGAACAGATGTATCCTGCAAATTGCCTCCCTTTCCCAAGGGCACCTCCTTTACACTGAAATACCAAAGAAAATGTGGGAAAGTGCCATGTGGAAATGACTCATGCTACTTCAATTTTACCCTTAAAATGGCAGAAAAGAGCGAGAGTCCAGTAGCACCATAAAGACTAACAAAGTTTGTGGCAGGGCATGAGCTTTCATGATTCACTGCTCACTTCTTCAGATACAGCCAGAATGTGAGTCCATCTGTCCTATATATTGGAAAGTGGAGTGATTTCAGATGCCGAATGACATTAGAGGGCAAACAATTTGATTCTTTCATTCTGCAAAAGCTTTTCTTTCACACAAAGCATTTCCCAGCATCACACATATGGAACTTTGAGTCCAGGGGCACCTTTAAGACCAATAAAGTTTTATTCTGGGTATAAGCTTTCATGTGCACGCACAGTCCTTCAGATACATTGAAACAGAAGTCACCAACAATTACAAATAGGTAGAGGGTGGAGAAGGTGTTGCCAGGAAGGGCTAATTAGAGTCAGAATTAATAAGGAAAACTGAGCAATAAGTATAGCTAAGACTGGATGAAGACAATTGGTAAAATCTGTGAATAGCAGCAAATTAGCATACAGCATAATAAAAGAGTTTACAAATGAATAAATTCTTTGACTGATTTCACACAAGGAGCTGCACCACCATCGCGCCTCCCTTTGCCCCGTTTCCATTCGTCAATTTCCCACTCGAAGCTGCGCGGCCACATTTTGACCCGCAGCTTCACCCGATTTTCCCTGTGGTTTCATGATCCTCAAAAAACAGGATCATGAAACCGCGGGGAAAATTGGGCGAAGCCGTGGGTCAAAATGTGGCCGCGTGGCTTCGAGTGGGAAATTGACGAATGGAAACGGGGCAAAGGGAGGCATGACGGCGGCGCAGCTCCTTGTGCGAAATCAGCCTTTTATTATGCTGTCTGCTAATTTTCCTTACAACACCATCTACCTCTATGTAATGGTTTGCAACTTCCATTTCAATGTATCTGAAGAAGTATGCATGCACACGAAAGCTTATACCCAGAATAAAAATTTGTTGGTCTTCAAGGTGCCCCTGGACTCAAACTTTGATCTGCAGCTTCAGACTGAAACACCTGAACATATGGAACTTCCTAAGGTTTAGCATACCTTGTGTGTTGTCCTCCTGAGCATAGGCTTGGTTCTCTACTCCATAGTTTCTCTTCAGGTGTTTAGGCTGGCAGAAACTATTTTCTGGAGGGTAGTCTCCAGGCGTTTGTGGAGCAGTAAGGATGCAAAATTCAGGCAGTGCATACGTAATCAGGAAGACCCATCCATTAGCTACCAGGGCAACGCTCATAACAGGATCATCCCAGCTGGCATTTCGGTTTGGTCTCATCAGCAGGGCTATCCATGCCACCCAGATGCCAATGGAGAACAAGATAGTGATGAATATGTGTGCTCCATGCCTCTTCCACCTTCTGTATGGCCCACAGAATACAAACATGCAGGCTACAAAGAGAATGGCCATGAGGAACAGCACATAGATGAGAAGCAAAACAAAGTCATTACGGCTTTGAGAGTCCATTTCATTTCTCTGTTTCTTTAATGCTTCTATATTGATGGCTACATACTGCACGGCTATAATAATTTGTACAATGGTGAGGCTGAGGGCGATAACCAGTGACATCGGTGCTGAACTTGGGGTTCTTCCTCTCACCAGCTTGATAAGGTTGAAGGCATGAACAAGGAGACAGGAGAAGCAGAGGGCAAAGAGGACCCCAAAAAGGAAGAAACGAGTGGGGGCAGTTCTCTCATTGAGCTTGATGATGAAGGCAAAGGTGAGGCCAAAGATTCCTAGAGTGCCCAGGAGGAAGAAGAACTGAACTGGGATCAAGCTTCTCTTAAAGTTGTCTTGGACTTTACATATAAGGCCAAAAAGCACCAGTATGAGGATGATGGTGGTGAGAACACCAGCTGTGGTCAGGCTTTCTAGAACAATGCCCCAGTCCTTGACAGTGTCACAGAGGAGGTAATAGTCACTGCTGATGTTTCCACAGCCTCTGGGAGGGGCTACGGTGGTCATAGTGCCTCCGGGCAAGCCCTAGAACAAATTATTCGTCTTAAAAGATCTGCAGAAGGGGAGACAAACACAGTGATAAGTCGAAACGGTAAGTCAAATGCACATCTACAAAATAAAGTGAGGAAAGCTGTAATGATTCAGGCCTTTAAATGAAGGGCCAAATGGGCCACATACTTGCACAGTTCATTTGGATAAAAACCATTATTAGATAACTGAGTCATATGAACATATGAATGTGCCTTAAACTGAGCCAAAACATTGGCTCACTTAGCCTAAAATTACCTCCTCTGATGGGTAAAAGTCCTCCCAGGCAGAGATGACTGACCCAGGTCCCAGTCACACACAGAATTAGCCACGCGATAGGGATGAAGGCCAGGCAGATTTTAAGGGTGCGATCACATAAAAACATCTGGCAAGTGTCCCGCACCTGTCGGCAACCCGTATCACCCGTCGGCAACCTGTATCACTCCGAAGATGTGGAGTAAAAAAATATCGGGGAAAGTGCACTATTTTCCAGAAAACACGCGACGTGGGCGGACATCTGATTGCAGAAGCGCTGGTATCCTGTCGCATCCGGCGCCCGTCTGCATCCCACCGGATGGGGTTTTTTATGCCTCCATAGTATGCGCGCAAACGCGGAACTGCCACAAGTGCATTACTGCTGAACGTTACTACTGAACCGCCTCGCCCTTCTTTGCCACGCTTCGCCATCAATGTGTGATCGGCGGCTGACGGCCTGAGCCTTGGGGGAACATCTGATCGCGATACCGTGCTTCATTTTGCTCCGGAGCAAAAAGCCTCGCTTCCCCCCCCAGGTTATTTTGCTCGTGTGACCGGGGCCCCAGTTATTCAGTTTCTTTAGAACAGATTAAACACACATCTGGTAGAGACCAGTGTTACCTCTAAGCTGAGTTAGTGTGAGCTAGCTCACAGTTTTTTAACCTCCAGCTCAAACATTTTTTTCTTAGCTCAGGAAGGATGGCTCCAGAGCAAACTAATTTATGGAGTAGCCAAATCGCTCACTCACCACTTTAATGCCAGTAGCTCACAAAGTAGAATTTTTGCTCACAAGACTACACAGCTGAGAGGGAGCATCGGTATGGACATACCCTTACTATGGTGAATTAACTTGATCATTTCAGCAAAAAATACAGGTGCAAATGAGTGAACTGAATTCGCAATGAAATTGTTATCTAATACATTTTTATCCCATCCTTCTTCAAAGTATCTCAGGGATGTATGCATAGTTCCCTAACCTCCCATGTTCTCTTTGTAACAACCCTATGAGGCAGGTTATTCTTAGAGACCATGACTGGCCCAAGGCTACTTAATGAGCTTCATGGCAGAGTGGGAATTTGAACCCAAGTTTTTTCTCTTTAAAATGCTAATACCAAACAGGGAGCCCAGTTACATATAGGGTGATCAAGCTGAAGTTGAAGGGTTAAAGAACTTCTCCCTTCCAATTATGGCCCCAAAGCAGACTGAGGTGAGAAGGAACTTGTAACTTGACCATGATCTTTCTCCTGTCTATTTGAGAACTTAGTCTGACACTGCAACCTAGAGTTTGGATCAAAAAATCTACACAACGGGGCCAGGGTATTGATAGAAAAATGCTTCTACAAACGGGGGGAGGGGGGAGACTGGGTTTACAGAAAAATCCCAACAGTTAAAACAAAATTAGGGATTTAAAAAAAAATTGAGATGCAATTCCAGCAATTCTTAAGGTAGGTCATTCGTGATATTACTATCCTTCTATGATAGCTTAGGACAATGGTTTACCTAAGGTATCCTAATGAGCTAAAGGCAGAGGTGGATGACAAATTAGGTTTTTCCTATTCATATCTTAGCCACTATGCTACACCAGTGATCCAGAACTGATGCTCATGAGTTTGCTTCATCACAAGCTGAGATCCCAGCCTCTTGCCATGGGGCTGCACGGTGCCCATCCATTTGTTCAGCCTACTTTCCAAAGCATTATGACAGCTTGGTGGATGGCCTCGAGAAAGAAGAGCAAACGAATCTTTTAACTATATTGTTATAAATAAAAATCAAGCAATCAAGTATCGCCTCCCCTACTTGCACAAAAGGGAAAGAGCTGCTGCATCATTCCCAGTTCTGATCAGGGCCACTGGATGAAAAGGAGAAGACATGAAACCTTTCCTCCCACGCAGCTTTACCAACTAAAACACCCAACGCATTGATGCTGTTAACCAGAACTGTAAGGCAAGAAGACGGTCACCTTGATTTAACCCGATTGTTCCTCCTTCCAGAATAAATACAGTTCAGGAGGCTCAGTTTTGATCAGTAGGACTAGGACTGCACAGAGGGAGAAGGGTTAAACCCCTTTTCTTCCTGCACTGAAGACCCAATTTGAACGGGGGGGGGGGTGGTGGTCTGTTTTTTTAAAAAAAATCACAGATCTTCAAGAATTTCATCTAGCCTACTCTTTTATAACTGAAAGTTATTTGAAACTGTGACAAAAAATTGTGAAAGCAATACTGTAAATGTATATGTAACTACATTTGTGCACATTCATCACATGTTATCTCTGAATCTCCTCCCCCACCCTTCCTCTGTAGTCTGCCACTCTGCTCACTGGCCTTTTTTGAACTGTAGGCTTCTTGGGAACACGATAGGGATACCAACCTCCAGGTGGCACCTGGAGATCTCTCTCTATCACAATTTATCTCCAGGAGGCTGATTTAGTTCCTTTGGAGAAAACAGCTGCTTGGGAGTGTGGACTCTATGCCATTATATCCTGCTGATCAAGGCTCCCTCTAAGCTGTGGAGTCCTGTGAGCAAAAATTCTACTTGGTGAGCTCCTGGCATTAAAGTTGTGAGTGAGCTATTTGGCTGCTGCATGAATTAGTTTGCTCTGGAGCCATCCTTGCTGAGCTAAGACAAAAATGTGTGAGCCGGAGGCTAAAAAACTGTCAGCTAGCTCACACTAACTCAGCTTAGAGGGAACACTGCTGCTGATCCCCTCCTCTTCCTAACCCCCCTCCCCAGGCTCCACCCCCAAAATCTCCAGGTATTTCCCAGCCCAGAGCTGGCAACCCTAGGACAGGATCCTGTCTTTTTATTCTTTCCTACGCTGTCAAGGAGTCAACACCAAATAAGTCCTTTTCATTAAGACATTCTACATATCAAAGGTGTAGGGCTGAGGATCTCTCTGCTAATGCCTCCTGCATCCCTTTCCTTCTTAAAAATTAAAGGTCTGTTTTGTCTGAGTTTGGGGGAACAAGAATATTTTATTTAAAATGGTAGCAGATGGCACGTTCACTTAATAAATATTAAACAATTGGGACACATCCACACGGGGGCTCCAGACTGGTGCACTGCTCTCATCCCCAATCTTTTTTGGCTGTGATAACTGCAGTGGTCTACAACTGTCAGCATTGCATAGAACAGAAAGTTTTCCCTCATGACTCTCATGCAGGCATGTCTTCAGGACACTGAAAACAGGGATCGGGTCACAATGCTGCCTAATGTTTCTCCAGTGATCATTTTCCAAACCACAACACACAATTTCAGCATCAGCTCGGAAACACAGTAACTGTCCAGACAGTTGTGAATGGTAGTGAGGTTTGCCACCTCCATAAATATTTAAGAAGAAAAGTGTGAGTTTTTACACACAAAGACTGGAGCACTCCTTTCAGACATTGCATCCACATGTACAGCAACCTTGCATGCCAGTAGCACATCTACCAGGCACATGGTGCATGGGGAGAGCTGGGCCAGTCATGCAGGTGGAGTCTGTAGCATTGCCTGGGAGGGGGGAAGGGTCCCTGATCTGAAATTGAGATCTCATTCTTTGTATAGAAGCTGTTGAGTCATAAATCAAAAAGTCTAATATCATTTTAATTCTTGGGTGAGGTGATCAGTATAATTCTTAACTGCAGGTATTCCCCTTTACACATGTCATCTATGAACATGCAAGACAACTCTGTTGAGAAGACGCACACGTTAGCACACTTAGATATGAGCAAACAGGGAAATTTCAGATTGCCACAGGAAGATCACCCCACTGTTGCCCTCCTCAGGGAACACCCCCCCCCAGAAAATGGCGGCACACAGGTGACATTGTAACATTATGAATGCAATAAGAACAGGTAATCTTGTATGCAAACAAACTCCAGAAGCCATACAGCTTGACACTGTGCCTTCCCTTTCTTCAGTACCTATATATGTAACATAGTTGCAGACCAAGATCAAATTGGAATTGATGGAAGTTGGCCCATTTTTTTCAGAATTAGGTTGCTACCCATGGGCAAGAAGGGAATTTAAACGCTTCTGCTGCTTGTGCTTCTCTGCTCCAGGCAATGGCTTCTTCCTAGCTGAGGCTCCATGCCCTCCCCCCCAAATTATTCTCACCAGAAAGCAACCAGGAAGAAGCAATTGGGGGGAGGAAAGGAGGGGTGGGGGAAAGGACCAGTTCCTGCCTCCCACCCATCCACATTATGCTTTAAAATCTTCCCCTTTCATACCCTTCTTTACAGGGACAGAACAACCAAATTTGGGTCGTTAACATCACTTCTAGCTTTTAAATCTTGTCAGCCACTTTATGTACAGTTTTTTTTTAGAAAACTGGCTACAGAAATATAGACGTGGCTATTGCAGAAATATATACAGTTAACAAATTGAGTGTGAGACTCACAACCAGCAGTCCTAAGAACATGCAACATGTAGATTGTCTTTCTGGATCAGACCAAAGACACCTCTAATCAAGTATCCAGCTAAGGTTTACGTGATGTTATCTATCACCTTTTTATCACTTTTATATCTCTAATTGTACCCAGAGTTCAAGGCACTATAAAAAGGGGGAGTTATATTCTTCAATATAACTTTGTGAAGCTTGTGAGGCAGGGAGGGGCAATTGTATGGATACACCTTATCTTTCCAGTCTAACGCTATACCACATTAGTCTTCTGAAACAACACTCACAAACTTACAGCCTGGGAAAGCCCTGGCCATTTTTTAAGATACCTGTTTTTGTACTCATGCTTTATCTTTCTGACATTACACCCCCCCACACACACAATTATTTTAAAAAGTGAAGGAAGCTGCCACACAGTAGTAAACACAGTGCCCTGTCATTGACACACATCCAAACTCATCCTCCATCTTACCAGAGTTAAAGCGCTTACAGCCCTATTAACAGTAGCTTTAACTGTGTCATTGCATTTACCTTGAGGCCGTTCTGGCTTGAAGCTGAAAGGTGAATTTGCTTCAGTAGCAGAGGCTGAAGCAAACAGAGGAATTCCTACAGCAGCCACTCAACAGGTAACCTCCGTTCCTCTTGCTTTTCCTTCCGCAGACAAGCAACAAAAATGTCCTCATAAACTCTAAGGGCAGCTTTAAAAGCAAGCAAGCGGGGGAAAGGGTGATGAAGGAATTGGGCACGCCTATTCCAGTTCCACTACTCTTGGTGCTGTTATAAAAATAATATCCTGCTGCCAGAAGATGAAGTTAAAAACGTCTGACGTCAACTGGACAGTCACCCCTAAAGTTGGGTGGGGACGGAAACTTTGCCTGTACCAGCCCCAGTACTGAATCCATTACCATTCATCAAGTCAGCCGATAAACTGCCCCTCCCTGGGAGTTGCGAAATGGAGAGGGTGTGGGAGACCCCAGGCCAAGAATAACACTACGGTGCTCCTCCCCATCATACCTTTATGCCGTTGGCTGCTATTCAGGCAAACCAATGTTTTGAGATGCACACGTGTAACTATGATTAAAACAGTTTCTTAAGCCTCCCACTTTCACTGCTCTTTATAGAAGTGTCATCCGTGCCAATGAATTCTTAGGAATTTTCTCCTTGTTGCCCTCAGCAAATCTTTTGGGAACACTAGAGCCCTGCTGGAACAAACCAGTGGCCCATCTAGACAGGCATCCTACTTCCAGCAGTAGCCAACCAGAGGCCTCAGAAAGTCCACAAAGCGGGGACCTAGAAGCCAAAGAATTTCCATGTTGTTGTCCTCAGCCAATGACATTTGGAAACGAATTTGTCTAATGCTCTTTTAAATCTGTCTGTGTTAATGGCCCTCCTGAGCCAGAAAATTCTACAGTATCTCCTCATAGGGCCAGATCTTGAACCACCTGAGCATATTGGTTGCCTTGTTCTGTACCTTTCTGAGCCCTATGACATCCTTTTTGAGACTGGGCACCCAAATCTGTACCTCATATCCCAATTGTGGCTAACCTTTCATCTATACAAGCCCATTGCAATACAAACAATTTTGTTTTCAGTTCCTTTCCTATTCATTCCTAGCATAGAATTTTGTGGTTTTTTACCATTGACGCAAACTGAGATGACATTTTGTTTTCACAACCACCACAAAATGTTTTTTCATGGTCAGCAACCATCAGGCCAGAATGGCTCAGTATACGTATCAGGCTATGATCCCACCTCCCCCCCCCCCGGGTGTCACATTACACCTACTTACATTGATCTTCATTTGCCAGGTTGTTATTCACTCACTGATCTAGAGAGATCCTCTGGGAGATCTTCACACTGGCTTCGGTTTTCACCATCCTGAATAATCCGGTATCATCTACCAACTTGGCCAGTTCACAGCTCACTCCCAATTCCACATCATTTATGAATGAATTAAATACAGATCCTAATGCAGTTCCTGGGAAGCTCTGCCGCTTACTTCCCCACATTGTCAGAACTGTCCATTTACTCCTGCCCTCTGCTTCTGATTGTTTAACCAGTTATTCATTCACGAGAGGACTTGTCCTCTTATCCTGTGACTGCTAGGTTTACTCAGGAGCCTTTGGTAAGGGACATTGTCAGAAGCTTTTTGGAAGTCTGTATGTAATGTCTACTGGCTCATCATTATCCACATGCTTGTTAAAACTCTCAAGGAGCAAAAAAAAAGTTTGGTAAGGCAGGATTTCCAGTTGCAGGCCTCCTGTAACCACTGTTCTAAACTATGCACAAAATCTCTGCAGATGGAAAAAAATGTATCAGCACAGCAAGCCTTCCCTGCTCTTTCCCATTGCACCAGCTATGCCCACTAGCTATGCCCACAAATGCTCTTTCCCAGTGCACCAGCTATGCCCACCAGCTATGCCCACAAATGCTCTTTCCCAGTGCACCAGCTATGCCCACCAGCTATCCCACAAATGCTCTTTCCCAGTGCACCAGCTATGCCCACAAATGCTGCCACCAGGGGACAAAAATCCCCCCTTCCATCAGTTGATATTTCCACCAGATCCAATCCACTCCTTACATCTTGCAAGTTGCATCAGTTTCTGAGCTGCAACTCCAGCCCAACCCAGATAAGCCTACAGAGAAGAAGCAGCCATTTCTCTCCCGCCCCCACCGCCACCAGAGTGCTTGAGTGTGTGTTTAATGAGCAATAGACATATTATCATAATTTTATAACAACTTACCAGGTTCTTTGAATTCCCACCTTTCATTTTAAAAAGTCTCTAAACCCCTTTCATTGTGAAAATATGCCTTTCCCCTTATATCTCTGCAATGAAAGAGACTAGAGACTTCTTTGTCTTGAAAATGAAAGCTGGGCAACCAGGGAACCTTATAGACAGTTTGTTATAATGTTATAATATGATAGCAATCTGGAAATTGCCATTTTTTAAAAAAAGCCTGCTGATGGTGCCAGGGTGGGACGCTCGGCCAGTTCCGGGGTTTGGGGGGCCCTGGAAAAAGAGGGCCCTCCTCAGCCTACCATCAGGGCCCCTGCTCACACATCCATTTCTGCCTCCAACTGGTGTGTCCTCAACCTGCCTCTTACTGATACCCCTTGACAGATTGTGGGGTGGGGCTTGGAAACGGTTGCAGCTGACCTGGAAGTGACATCATTTCCAGATAGTGTTCTAGGATCTCCCCATAATCTCTGTGGTAAAAAACATACATATTGGGGAGATTCCTAGAGCACAATTCAAAAGTTATTTCACTTCCTGTTCAGACCCCTCCTTTCCCCCCCCCCTCTCATTGCAAACATCAGTGCCAGCAGAAATGCAAATACAGCAGTAGGGGATTTCCAGCTGGAAGTGGGTGCTTGGTGAGCTTATACCTGCGAGTCCTTCCCCTGCTCATGAGCTTTCCCACACCACCCACATGGAGAGCTGCTCACACTGCCTGCATCCCCTCTGCCCGACAGTGCAAAAGGGGGGAAAGGCAGGCAGCAGGAGGGGTGTGTGGAGGGGGGTTGGTGGTAGGGGGCCCCTCCCAAAGCCCTGGGAGATGCCCCACTTCAGGCTATGCTGATGCTGACCCTGCCGGGAACAAAGGTCACCACCAGGGATTCGGGCAGGGAAATAGGGAAACCCACCATGTGGAAGCCCTGTTTCTTCTGCGCTGACTCACGAGCTGCAGCAGCAACTGGGAAACTACACATATTGGTCCCCATGCGGTAAACACCTCACACAACTTTTAAGAGTGGTCATGACAGGCCTCAGGCTCTGATTTCTAAAGAAGAAAACTAAAAATACCCACAGGGTGTGTCCAAAGCCTTCTTGTTCTTTTTGGATCACGGCCAATAAAACGAACTAGTAAAAACTCTTTTTAGTGCAGCTTCCCAGATAAAATGAAAGGTATGGTCATTTTCAAGTGCGTGCTGTTTGACAGATTGTCTTGCAGAAAGAAAAGAACTTCAGCTACAGCCTTGCTAAAATCAGAAAGCATCAGCTTGCAGCAAGATGGTGAGGGGTCTGGAGACCAAGTCCTAAGAGGGAAGGTTGAAGGAGCTGGGTATGTTTAGCCTGGAGAGGAGATGACTGAGAGGTGATATGATAACCATCTTCAAGTACTTGAAGGGCTGACATATAGAGGAGGGTACGGAGTTGTTTTCTGTTGCCCCAGAAGGTCGGACCAGAACCAATGAGTTGAAATTAAATCAAAAGAGTTTTTGGCTAAACATTAGGAAGTACGGAGTTGTTTTCTGTTGCCCCAGAAGGTCGGACCAGAACCAATGAGTTGAAATTAAATCAAAAGAGTTTTTGGCTAAACATTAGGAAGAACTTCCTGACAGAGTGGTTCCTCAGTGGAACAGGCTTCCTTGGGAGGTGGTGGGTTTTCAAACAGAGACTTAATGGCCATCTGTCAGCAATACTGATTGTGTGAACTCAGGCAGATCATGAGAAGGAGGGCGGGAAGGGTTGCATCAGTGCTTAGTTCTTGTGGCCCTTTCTTACACGCCAAGGGAAATGCTGATCACCACTTTGGGGTCCGGAAGCAATTTTTCTCCAGGCCAGTTTGGCTGGAGATCCTAGAGGTTTTTTGTCATCTTCTGGGCATGGAACAGCAGTCACTGGAGCTGTGGAGGGGGAGGTATTTGTGAATTTCCTGCATTGTGAATGGGGTTGGACTAGATGATCCTGGAGATCCAACTTTATGATTCTATGTGTTTGGCTACAGAAACCACAGCAGCCACACATGATGCTTGGTTCCAGCTTGGTGTAGTGGTTAAGAGCAGCTGACTCTAATCTGGAGAACTGGGTTTGATTCCCCACTCTTCCACATACAGCCAGCTGGGTGACCTTGGGCCAGTCACAGCTCTCTCAGAGCTGTTCTCTCAAGAGCTGTTTTCTCAGAACTCTCTCAGCCCCCCCACCTCACAGGGTGTCTGTTGTGGGGAGAGAAAAGGAAAGCAATTGTAAGCTGCTCTGAGACTCCTTTGGGTAGTGAGGGGTGGGATATCAAACCAACTCTTTTTCTTAGACAGAAAGTTTCATTTTTAAAAACTACAGTTTTAACACAACTGATCTGATAATTATCCCCAATACATGGATAAAGTTGACCCTCTCTTCAGACTGTAATTCCCCTGATGTACTTCTTCCAGCCTTTGGTTTATGTTCAATGTAAGGCAACTCGGGGCAGCTTCTGTTATTTGTAGGCTTGCCAAGTCCCCCCGGGGGGCAGGATCGGGCCCTGGGGGGAACTCCACCCCCACGTGCACGTCACCGGGAAGTGACGCGGGTACGCTGGGCACGGGGGCCAGGCCCATCCGGGGGGAAACTCTATGGTTTTCCCTCGGGTGGTCCTGGCCCCGCCCCCCGTGTGCCCGGCGTACCCGCGTCACTTCCGGGTGATGTGGATGCAGCACTGTTTTGCTGCTGTTGCTGCTATCCTCAAACTTGTAGTGTGTTATTTTAATTAGAGAGGGAGGGGGAAATGAATGTCTCATTCTTTTCAAAACTGACCTTCTCTGTGGTAGCACCTTGATCATGGCTTGTGTGGTACAATGGTAGGATTAGTACTGGGGAGACCTGGGTTCAAATGCCTACTCACGGCCCAACTAGACATGACATTGTCCCCAGGTTTGTCTTGGGGATGCCACTACCATTTTAAAGCCAAATATGGGTGGTTTC